CATGGCGAGCGGGGCGCCGGGCGGGTGCATGGGGCTGCCGGCCCGGGGCCCCGGCACGGCGCTGCGCTCCCGCCCGGCCCCGGGGCGGCGCGGGCAGCTCTGGCACGGCGCCGCCGGGCGGGCTGTGGCCTCCTTGGGGCGGGGGAGGAGTGCGGGGGGCGGCGGGTGAAGGGGAAGGCGAGGCCCCCGCGCCAGTCCGCACGGAGGCAGGGCATCCCCGCGCCCCGCCGGCACGGCCCGCGGCCCCCCCGCCCCGCCCCGCCGACCCTGGTCCCGGCCCCCGACGGCGCCGGGCGATGCCATCCAGAGCCCTCGAGGCGGGGCGGGCCCAGCCCGCGGCTGCTGCCGGGGACTGCTCCCGGCCGGGCTCCCCGCCGAGACCCGCAGCCGGAGCTGCCGTCGGAACCCGTCGTGGGACCGGCGGCTGCCGGGCCCCGGGGAACCGAGCGCGACGGGGCGGGAGCCGCTTGTCGGGAGAGCGGCGGACGGGGCCGGGAGAGCGGCTCCTGGTCCACGGAGGGGTTGGGGAGGGACGGGAGAGCGGGAGGCCGAGGCAAGCTCTCGGTGGGGCTCAGCCCTGCGCTGCTATGCGGGCTCTGGGAGCCACTCGGAATTTCTCCCACTTATCTCCAGCCCTGGCATTTTCTAAGTGCATCGGTTTCATAGGCAGCCTCTCAGGAGATGACATGCAGGAGGATGCCCTGGCACTATCCTGGGTCAAAAGCGAGGGTAAAATGCACTGAGGGTAAAAGCTGATGCTCTGGCTCCCTGCTGGGCTCTGCCCTGCACCGGGCTGCCTTCAAGACCTTGTGAAGGTGCGTGCTGGCTTTTTTTTTGGGGTGGGAATGGACTGTGCAGAAGGAGGTGGGCTCGGCCTTCACAGGTGCACTGGCTTTCTGAGGACACCTTCCAAGATACTGGCATGGGACAGACCCTGTGGGGAGAGCTGGCTCTGTGGTCTTGTCCTCCGGGACAGGAGTAGGGTGGGAGGCTGGAGGGGAGAGCATGGCTTCATGGGAGACCACAGAATGCTTTTGGAGGTAAGGCAGAGAGCCAAGTCCCAACCCTCCCTTTGTGCTTGGCCTGATGGAGGACTTGGACTTGGCACAGTACTTAACCAGGCAATGGCCTCATGTCTCCTGCCTCCAAGGTCCCCCTTCCTGGACCGGTATTTATCCCGCTTTTCTCTTCAGTTTATCACTTTTTCATGGTATCACTTGCAGACTCCTCCGAGGCACCGAGTGAAACGACAAGCACAGTAACATCCAGAGCGGTTTTCAGCCTGCACTCAGCTTTGAAGACTCTTCTGTTTCAAGCCTGAGGAGAGCGCATGTGAATGGACGCTGCCGCTGCTGCTTCCAGACCTATCAGCTGGCCTAATAAAAGGTGTGACCTCTCTCAACAAATCTGCGCTTTCCCCCCCTGCCCAGCAGGATGCATTCTGTGTGGTTTCTTCCCAGAGGGATCCCTTCAAAGCAAAGGCTGTCAGTGCTTGCCTCTGCCGGTGCCCACCTTTTGGAGGTTTCTGGTCTGGTGTTCCAAAGGTAATTCCCTGTGGAAGTGCTCAGCCTTTCCTGGCTCCAGGTGAGCTTTGCCTTACCCACTGCTCTGGGGGGTTGGGGCCGAAAGAACTCAGCCATCCATTGGCAAAGAGGGAAGGGGCCAACAGAAGAGACAAGAAAAGGTTAGTGTGGCTTTTGTGCACAATATGAAAAGCAAGTCAATACCATTGTAGGGGCATTGGAGGGTACTCAAAGCAATCAGCCAGGGGCCATTGTGCTCCTTTAATCTACATGTGTGTTTCCCAAGAACTCTATTAGTGAAGATGAATGAACTGTGCAATGTCCCTAATTTCTGCTAATTTGGTGCTGGGGTTTCGTGGCTCTGCAACCAGCACAAAACGTGCCTGGCCCTCCAGAAGCCCTGGGCAAACTTGGGAATGGGCTTTACTTGTTGTGGCCTGGTACAGATGCTGCTTTTAAGTCACCTGTCCAAATTGTCAAATACAGGGACAAGGCACATTGGTTTTGCCTATAATGCAGAAGTAGAGCAAAAAGCCTTCCACCCCCAAAGCAGGGCACACGTCCCACACGGTACAGGAGAGAGCTTCCTCCCTAAGAGAGGAGGGTCCTCCTTACTGCAGTTGTATTCGCTGTATGGAACTGCATTTGTCACTGGAGCATCCTTCGTGAAGGCAGTGGAGCTGTCGAGGGAGGAAGCAACTCCCTTCATCACAGCCTGTAAAACTCTGGACACCCCCCCCCAGCAGAGCAGGGATCAGCCCCGACCCCTCCAGCTCCAGCTCCATCCTTTCCCTCTTGCTTTGCTTCAGGCACAGAGTGTGGTGGCACTGCACTGCTCTGGGGGGGGAGGAAGTCTAACGGCTCCTCTGGTAATCACAGACTGACACAGAGATGTTAGGATGGCAAAGAAAGGTAACTGAATATCCCCCTTTGGGTCTAATGTGTGGGCTGTCAGCTACAGCTAAACCCTCTGCTGCCGGGGTCACTTGGGACATACATCATGGTAGGGAACCCGCACCCGCTGCACTTGGCATACGGTGTCAGCGACAGATTGTTAACAACTGTGAGAACTGGCTTTGCCTTTTTTCTCCCCAGAAGCTCCCCAGTGTGCAGCGGAAGAACCTTCTCAAAGCACGGGGTGTGAGAAAGCTGCTGCATCCTCCATCCCTGCAGCCCTCACACCTTGACAGTCGCCTCCTGCTTCTTTCTGGTGCGGTTTGTGGCTGTCCTGAGGGAGCTGGTTGTGTTTTCTCCACCGCTTCCAAGGTGCCCTGTGGCAGGCTGGACTCTCACGGGGAGTGCAGCACAGAGCCTGAGCCTCGGTGGCTGTGCTGCCCCACATCCTGGCTGTGGGTACAGGGTGGGCTGTGGCTGCTCAGGGAGCAGGGCAGCCCTTGCTGCTGGGGAGCAGCTGGGCTCGGCTCACCACCCTCAGCCATCGAGAGGGAGTGCAGGTTCATGCTGTAAGGCTATATTAATGCAATCCTTCTTTACTTGTTTTCCAATTAGCCTAATTGAATTCAGATTGCTTAAAAGTGGGCACTAGAGACATTTATCCTGATGGGATGACGGCCTTGAGCTCCAGCGATCCTATTAACTATAAGAACCCAAATCCCAGGTAGGGTCCGTCCAGCAGGAGCTCCCATGTGACCTAACGCTTTAATCTGCTCCTTTTCCGTGCAGCACACACACAGACACACACAGAGACATGTACACCTGCATGCATGCACATAGGTGCACATGCATTTGCCCCTCCCCTCCCAGCAGCAGGTCAGTGCAGTGCAGCCAGGGCTGGGAGCAGCCCTCACTATGCATGGGGGGGGCCCATCCTGCCGCTGCCCCCCAGCTCCACTCACTGCTGCCAGCCCCAGCAGGCTCCTGGAACCTCATTAATGGCTTGTTGGTGATTTTGGTTGTACTTTCTTCTCTGACCTCTGAAACCATGAACACGGTGGTCCCAAATGTGCTGACAAACGTCATCGGCTCCTTCAAACCTCCAGGAAGATCTCCAGGATGTCCCAGGCATGTTTTAATTCAAAGATGGAAAGCCTCAGGCTTGTGTTTTGTGGGTGAGATAATTCAGTCTGTGAAGTACCAGAACAGCATGGAGGCACCTACCAGATTTATACAAATACAGAGGGAAGACAGAAAGCACATCAGAAGCCTTGGTGGGTTTAGGCAGTGTTTGAAACCGAGTCAGCATTTGCTAGCCCTGATGCTTGATGAACATGCTGAACATAGGACTTCTCCACTGAAGAAATGACCTGTTGCAATGTGAGAGCCACTGGCATTCCCCTCTAAGTGGACCAGGGCATCCTCTGGAAAAAGCGAGGAAGGAAAACTCAGCAACTTCCTTGTTTCTTAAGTAAGAAAGAAGTGAGCGAGAAGAAAAGGCACATTTCATCAGACTGCACTGGGGAAAACACCTGATAACAGGTTTTCAAACAAATTACGCAGCTTCTGTTTGAACAGTGATTGCTGAAAGAGCTTTTCCAAGATGATCTCTTGCACTCAAGAACCCCCCTACAAAGAGCTGTCCCATGGAGGACAGGACCAACATCTCCAGAAGAGAGGAAAAGGACAAAAAGACAGAAAGAAAAACGTGGCAGGAAGGCAGGAAAAGAGAGAAAGAAAGGAGACAAACCAAACCATACTTAGTGCATTAATTCATTTAAAATGAACACTTTTACTTGATCGGGTGGAGGGAGAGAGAAAGAGACTTACAAACCTGTAGGAAGGTGCTGCATGTGCTCATTTGCAAACTTCATTCACAGGCTAGCTCTTGGGGGAGCATACAAAGTCCTTCATTTACTAGGCTCAGGGGTAGCGCTGTGTACAGCATCCATGTGCATGGGCTGTACAGCTCTGGGGTGGGCTGTCATGCATGGTGACTACAGCTGTGCAAGCACACAGCACAGGCTGACTGATGCTCCTGTGAGCTCATTTTCACTGTAGCCTCTACAAGTGATTTGCTGGTACCCAAGCCCCAGAATTCGGCACAGAGCAGCCCAGCTGGGGGCCTCTGCTGTCTCGTGGTGTTTGACCAGCATTTGAAGCCAAGAGACATTAAAGCAGCCTGCAGAAGTCTGTGTTCCTGCCTGACCATGCTTCGTGGATAGCTACCAGGCCTTGGTTCCCTGCAAGTCCCCACTCATACAGTGCCATTTTTGTCCCAAGCTGTAGAGTTAAACGCTTCACTTTAGCCTTCTGCTGTATTGAGAACAGAGATGGTCAAAACTATGTTTTAAAGGAGTTTCTGCAGAAATGCCCGCATTGGAATACTGGGTTTGTGTCAAAATGTTTGAAATGTCCATGGTTTTATTAGAAAGAGACAGATTTCTTGCAGAAAGCACTATTAAGTGAGTGGCTGCCTGTATGTTGTGCACCAGAAGCACATGTTTTCTCAATGCACATTTAACAGCATTCTGATCACCTTGAAAACGTGGAAGAAGGCACAGTTTTTCCCCATTTTTTTTTTCTATGGGGAAAGATGGTCTGTTAAAAACGGAGGCTCAGTTCTAACTTCACACTGAGCAGTCACAGCATGTCATTCCACCCCCACCCCAGTGGGGTTCTAAGTCTCTCTCTCTCTTTTCTATATTTACATTTAATGCTATAGAGCTAAGTGCATTCCTCAGCCTGGCCTCACTCTGCAGCCCAGCCCCTCTGAGACAAGGCTGAAGTCATAACCCTCGCACCTTGGTGGCTCTTCTACATCACAGAACATTTCTGCTCTGCTGCCTGTTTGATTTCAGTGAAGGTGGCTTGTGCTTTTTCTTTGATCGCATCCATGTCCATATTCTGGATGTTCTGCAGCTGTCCCAGGATAGAGTCCTTGTCCTCTTCCTCCACTTGATCTTCTGCCACCATCTTCTGAAGGTCTTCCGGCAAACCCACGTCATCTCCAGCCATCTGTATTTGATTCTCGTCCAATTCACTCTGGTACAAAGAGGAGAAAACAAGAACAGCGCGTGAGAGCCTTTCTGCTGCCTCTTCTGGTCAGTTGTGGGGGGCTTTATTGGTTTTAAGGAGAACAAAACCGTAGGCACAGATTTTTCAGTCAAAGCTGTGAGCTCCGGGGCTCAGGACCCCCATACAAGTGGTAAGATCTCAGCTTTCTCTCCCTGAAGGGTTTCAGTGGTTGTTCAGAGGTGTCAGTAGCTCTCAAAACAAAGCCTTCAGTGGCACTTGCCATTTTTGAAGCCTTTGCCATATGTGTTCACTGTGGTAACACGCTGATACTGCAGGAAAGCCACAAGTTATCTGCATCCACCAAAGATGTGCCACAATAGACTGTAATCTGTTGTGTGATTCAGTCCATGAAGCAGGAGCTTTAGAAGAACTGTGTGGCTATCATTTCCCTATGCATGCTGGTGTGTGCTTTTTAGGTATCAGCACTAAACTGATGCTTTCCTGAAGAAAGATGCATTAAACTTAGGAAAGAATTACTGGAAACAAAGGTCTCCATCTTCCCCAAACTGCACCTAAACTGTATCTAGGTCTTTGGTTGGCACCCCTGAGCTGTAAAGAAGAGCAGGGGCTGCTGGCACATAATGTGCTGGTAAGTGGGGTAAGAGGAGGACTTAGACAACAAAAGAGAGGAGGAAGGTTGGGTGCGAGTCTGAGAAAGCAAAAGGAGACAGAAGGAGCTGGATAAGCAATTAGAAGGGCTGAGCTGCAGCAAGTGCTGCACACACTCGCTTCCTGCCTGCCCACTGAAACGCTCCATCAGTGGGGCTGTGTCAGTTCCTAAACAATGGTGATTTTGTTCACATTTTATGGTGGATTCTGCTGCATCTAGAGCTCAGAAGAACAGGATATTTTGACACAGTTCACACATCAAAGATAAGCATTAATGCCTCATTACATCTCCAAAATGAAGCATGACAGCAGCAAAGGCCTGATATGAATAAGCAGCAATGCTATCAGCAGGAGGTGTTTTTGAGAGTGAGCGAGGTCTCGGGTTTGCATGAATGAATGAATGCAAGAATGAATGGGAGGATGTATATGAGCAATGTCTGTGTAGTTCGGGCCCTAGCAAGACAGGCCGACTGGGATGCTTGACCACATAGCCACTATTTACTGTGATGTGTATTTACACAGCTTTATATTTGCAATAGCTCTACTGATTAACCCCATTTCTCCCGTATTTGTTAGGAAAATATGGAGGACTGTATCATGATAGTTACTGCTACGTGGCTAAAACAAGTAGGGGTGTCTCTTGACCCCTTTGGGTGAGGCTTGCTGCTAGCAGATCTGTGGGAGCTAGAAACAATATCCCAATTGGCAAAAGTGTTCTTTATACGGTGCACACAAAGGCCACTTTGGCAACAGGAACGGTTGTTTGGCATGCTGTTGCCCCAAAGCCCCCTGCCCTCCAGAAGCCTGAAATGCGATGCACAGCCCAGTCTGCTGTTCAAAGTGGTCTCTGACCACAGAAGAGCATACTCACATGCAGTCTAAAGCAGCACAATTCTAAATAAAATCTAGTACAACCTCAAGCAGTACAATTCTGCCCAAGCCACCTGCCTCTACCCACTTTGCATTTAGTCTGTCCTTGGACAGACCGAGTATGAGCTTCAACAGGGTAGGGCTGCTCAACCACGAGCAAAGCAGTACCCAAGATGTGTGTGGCCTCTTCTCTTTCTTCTAGAATTTGCCAGAACTCATCCTGTTACTTGGACTTGAAATGTAGGATTAAGTTTCTGATTCTACCTGTTGTAAGTCTGGTGGAAGTCTCACAAGGAGAGACCAGAGTATCTTCCCACAGGATGTTCTCAAAGTCAGGCTAATGCTGCAAGTGCAAATACACAGTGAGTCTGCAAGCTCCAAGCTCCCACTTCTGAAAGCCAGGACCATAAATGTGGTGCTGTAAAGGCACTGTGTCTGTTAGCTTCAGACAGCAGCTTGCAATCAAGAGTGTGAGCAGGGTGTGCAGATCCTGACTGTTCCAGCTGGATGCATGTGGGGACTGTGCCTTGCTGAAGGTCAGAGAGGGGCTGGACAGTGATAGAGGCACTACCCCGTATCAGAACACGCTCAGCTTGGACTACAGAGGGCACCCAAAATAGGCAGAGCTCACGGACAGGACAGCTGGGGCTGTGGGCTCTAACCAACCCATACAGAAAGCCTCTCTGGACCCTGCCAAACCTGCACTGGACTGGCTGGCCCTCCTCCTGATGACTCCAATCCTCAAAGTCTCCAGGTCTCTGCAAGTGTTCAGCCACGCTTTTAGGATCTCTGAGAACACAGAAGCAACATCTATTCTAGTAAATTAAATATGCCTGGCACTGGGCTCTTGCCCCAAGGCCAGCTGGCCTGGAACAACCCACTGCAATGCCATTGAGCTCTCTTGCCCTACCAAACAGGGTGGTCCCCTCTAACTGCCCATTGGGAACGCCTGTTCTAACTCCAAGACCAGCCCTGGGAAGTGCCTGGGAGAGGGCCCAGGCCAAAATTGGGACAGACACTATTCTGACAATCCAACAGCATAGGTAATACAGCCTTAGTGACTGCTAATATTCTTTGGCCCTGATTATGCATCTGGAGTAGGCACTCAGATCCATCTAGTTAGAGGTGCAATATAACACAGACTTCTTTATGCATACAAGAAAACAGAGTCTGTAATCTAAATACAGTCTAAACCTGTCTATATGAAGGCTGATTGTAAACAGATCAGAGTTCACAGACTAACCCCCAGGGGAGCCAAATGGTTTTCAGCAGCACTGTGCGATGAACTGCTTCCCCTATGTCTAACTTACCCTATTGTAAGATTTACCTATGCCTATGTGCAAAGATCCTTTGGGTGGATGAATCCAGACCTCACCCTGCGATTCATCACCTATAATGTTCCAGTAACATACAAAATCAGAATTCATCCTCCCTTGACCTGCAGGTGGGGTTCCTGGTAAGTAGTGCAGCAGCCCCGCACTGCCTGTGCCATCCAAGGGAGTGCAAGGAGCCACAGGTTGCAACCAGCAGCCTTGTCTCCCACTCCCAAACACCCACTTGTGCATCACTACACAGGGATCAGAGGCTGGAGCACAGGAAGGTGTGCGGAAGGTGCTCAACAACCCAGCTGCCAGGGCCTCATAGGCATCTTCTTATGTAGGAACAGGAGCAATCCTGTTCCCACTGCTCCCAACACTCACAGTGATTCCATTTTTCCACAGCGGATCCACAGCTGCTTCACTCTAGTCTAAAAATCATTCAGATCAGCAAAAGAATTCAGCACTTACTGCAGCTCAGCCCTCCTAATTGCTTATCCAGTTCCTTCTCCCACCTCCTTCTGCTTTCTCAGGCTCACACCCAACCTGCATCCTCTCTTTTGTTGTCTAAGTCCTCCAGTTACCCCACTTACCGACCCATTGTGTGCCAACAGCCCCTGCTCTTCTTCAAGCTTAGCAAATGCTTGTTTTCAGATGCTTATCTAAAGCCTGTATGCTTTATGAAGAGCTTCCCCTGAGCCAAGTTTCTGTTTGTGCCTGGTCAATGTGCATCCTCTGCAGCATAGCTAGAGCTTATGCAAGGCCTGCATACGAGTTAAAAATCCTTCAGTTCTGGAATGGTGCTATTCATGAAATCAAGCCTTGACAATATTCCCATCATAACACAATAGACTAAGAGATTACATGACTACACACCCCTTTCACGGCGAGAACTTTCCTTTTTAACGTCTACAGCAGCACTTGCTATTGAAAAGCCACCTGATTGCATCCGAACACTCTTTCTCTCTAAATACCAGTGAATGAGAAACATCCTGCTGTTCAGTAGCAGACTCTCACAGAGTGGTGCCCACACAAGTGCTTTGACTAGGGAAGGGATCCACCTGCATGGAGCAGATGACACAGTCCCTTCCTGAGGTGCTAGAAGTTCATACATCACAACACAGCCCCAGCACTTGGGCAGAACACCGGCACTGAGGTGGCAACACGCTGACAGGGAGCAGCGGCAGTTGAGGTGACGTGGTGGACACATGTGCAGACCATTGATGTGAAAGGGCTGGGAGGGCCTGTGGTCAATATGCATGCCATGAGGTTGCCATACTGCAGGTGAGGTCCTTGGACAGGCCTGTGCTCAGATGTTCCTCTCCAGGCATCATCAACTCATATCCCTGTGTTTAGACCTTGCAGAAGGCAATTGATTACTGGATCTCAGTTCAGGAAACAGAAATAATTAAGAGAGTTTGATGTGGGTTTTTTTAAATTATAATATTTAGCTATGTGTTTATTTTATTTAAATATTTTGCATAGAGGTGAATACTCTGGAGACGAAAAAGTAGTCCATAGATCAAACGTCTCATGGCTAAAAACATCTTTCTGATGACAAACCTAAGTTGACAATTCTGTTAATAGGATTAGGTTCATTAAGGGACTGCTTTCTCTTATAAATCTGGCCCAGAGAGCATGGAGCGCTAGCTTTTGCACTGAAAAAGGGGCCCTGCTTAGTCTTGGATTTCATGCTTTCATTTACAATGTGTGCTAGTGATTGATACTGGTAATATTCAGGGTTTCTATCCCCTACTAAGCTACCTGAAATGACTTTCATTTTCCAAAATAATTAATGCATTATCACACATCTGAGAGCATTTTGCTGCCAGAATGCATCAGAGTTCAATTTTTATCAGGGACATACAGCATGCACATCATAATTTCATCTTCTTCCTGATATAACATATGTTTTCACAGGGCTGATGAAAAGAAAGCAGACCTTCACTCAAGAAGCCCTACAGAGGTAGACACCGATGCCAAAAAGCATATCCTGCAAAATTTACGTGCAACCACTGCACATCAGCAAAGATGAGTAGATGCTTAATATCTTCTTTGCTGGCTGAGAGCTCCTGCCCACGGAGGCAACCCTTCTATTGTTGTTACTGCAATCTGGCCCCCAAAGTGCACTGTGTATACCACAGTCAAGATCCTGTGGACATGGGGCAGATCACCACAGCATGCTCTCGAGTGCAGTGAGGTGGCAGTGTGCTCGTTGGAGGTCACCAACGGTGACTGCAGAGACCTAACCACCACCTCAGAACTGAAGGAAGCACTACAGATGGGAGACTTGCAAAACCAGGGACACCCAAGCTCCCCTGACTTGGAGTTGAGAGCTAGGCACCAAGTTGTCCTGAAGCCTTTGAAACTACTGCTGTTCTGGAGCTGGCTCAGCACACGCCTCCTGAAGGAAAACAAAGCCTAATGATATTTCACTACTCAGCTGCTAATGAAAATGCTGCTGTTTAGAGGTTTAGGCCCGCAATCCAATCAACCACTTCAAATCTGGTACTTTTTTTTTCATAATTAATCTTTCTGTAATTAAACTCGCCCCTCAAGATACACTTCCCTCTGTCTTGTCACTGCTGAGCACCCATGGCCTAGAACAAATGGTACAGTGCAACTGATGAATACAGACAAGCGTTAGCATATAATCTGCCTTTGCTCCTTCTACCCCTATATATGAAGGACACTTAGGGACAGGACAAGGAGGGATGGCTTTAAGATGCCAGAGGGGAGACTGAGCTGAGCTCTTAGGCTTAGGTTCTTCCCTGTGAGGGTGCCGAGGCGCTGGCACAGGGTGCCCAGAGAAGCTGTGGCTGCCCCATCCCTGGCAGTGTTTGGGGCCAGGTTGGACACAGGGGCTTGGAGCAAGCTGCTCCAGTGGAAGGGGTCCCTTCATTTTTAAGATGACAAACCGTGCCTTCAGCTGATCTTAAAAGTCAGATGTCCTGACAGAGCATGCTGATCTGAAACGACAGTTACAGAGAAGTGTGGTCACTTCAAATTTGCTTCTGAAGCTTTGGTCAGCACTGATGTGTGCAGAGGGTGAGCAGAGGCAGCCTAACTGACTGTGGAAAAGCCTCAGCATTCTCTTCTCTTGATCCCCCTCCCAGTACCAGTCTTAAACCATTCTGGCATCTTTTTAAAAACAGGTTTAGTTGCAAAAACCACGTTTGCGAAGTTACAGAAAAGACATTTTTCACCCCTGATTATAAGGCCTGCCCGAACGGTTAAACCCAGGTGGTACAACTTGTATCTGAGTCCCAGGCTTGAGTCCCTTCTCATGCCAATTGGAACTGGCCTCGAGGGTTTAAGCAAATGATGAAGAGTGGTGCAATTTGATGAACGTGGCACTAGAGGGCCTTTGGCGGCTCGGGCTGAGAAACAGCATCAAACACACTGCCCAAAAGACCTTACTTGTAACTCATATTTACAGCATCTGATCACTTTCTGAGCACAGGGGACTGTATCAGTTTCTCACTGCTTGACTGCTGGGTCCCTGCTTTCTGGGAGAACCCAGGGCGCACAGATCAGACCATCAGAACACTGCCTGCAAAGGGAACAGCAATCAGAAGACTCCAGGTAACAGCCGTTAGTTGATAAAGAAGGCATTTGCTCAAATAATACATTTTCAGCAAGTCCCTGAAGTCATGCTTGACATAACTGTAAGATAAAGACATCTTAATGACGCTGGAAAAATAAACCTCTTTAGAAATCTGTTATAAGCAACAAAGGAGTGACCAGGCTAAAAGCAGTTTAGTAGCATATAAACCACCACCATTCTCAGATTAGTTATTCCTGGGAGAACCCACATGACCCTTTAACAATCTATGAGTAAGGAGCCTACACAACCCTGAGCCTCTGAAGACTTAGCAGAAATAAGCTTTTTTCACTGCCTGCACACAGACTGAAGCTCAGGGATGGATGCAACCCAGGTTTTAGAAGAGGGAAGGCTCTCTGTGGTATCCCAGGCTATGGGAACACATGGTCTACCTATCTGTGTCTGGGTGGAAGGAAGCAGTTCTTCAACTTCCCCCTTTCCCAGTAAGTCTAGAAAGTCAACAACAGCAACTGCAGAACTTGTGTCATGGTGCAAATAGTGCAGAGTAGCACAGCATATGGGGCTAAACCAAAGAAACATAAGAGATTAGAACACAAAATCGATAAATGTTATGTACATAGTAGAATAATTTGGAAAGTCCATGAAACAAAGACCCTGCTCCCCTCTCAGAAGGGTCTGAACACAGCCTCTGGAACTACAGAGATCTCTGAGAACGATGTATAACTCTGCTTAAGACAGCATTGATTCTAACGAAGACAACCCTCCAACCTGCAGTTCCTTGCTTTCCAGGGAACTTTAGTGCCTTCTGGTTCATCCATTTCATTGATGTAGGGCTCTATGTTGCCTTTCTGTTAGACTTACCTACTGAGCAGAGAAAAACAGGACTAAAAGCAGTCACCAGGAGAAACCATGGCTCTGGCCTCCTCCATTTCTGTACTGAACTGCAGTGGGGATCCCACTAGGGAAGGCAGTTTGTCATTTTCAGAACTGTGTTGGCAGTTTGTTTCCAAAGCTGGCCACTGAATTAGGTGAGGTCAGGAACTACACACGTACCTTTGGGAGTCTGTACTTTTCTCTCAGATGAACCCTCAGACAGGCTCGCTCTGCTTTTTTCTGTGCAAATGCTGCATCTCTTTCCATCCTGCAAGTCAGAAAAAATGCTTCAAGATACCAGTAAAATAGAGTCTTTTACACTGAACCAGTTGCTTGGCTGCATACAGCTACACAGAGGAGTTATTCCCAAAGTTATGGATCTTGTCCAAAGGCACAGAAGGAGCAATTATCGATATCAATAAAGTGATGCTAAGGGGCCAGAATTCCCACCCTCCTGCTTGTTCTCAGAACAGTTCCCCTGAGTGCTGTGAGAAGATAAACCAACTGGGAAGGATAAACTGCTTGTCTGGAATTCCCATCTGTACTAGCTGTTACTGCTCACTGTAACAATGAACAACTCTAAAAAGCAGAACAAGGCAGTTATGCTTATTCCTTGCTTATTCCACTGGGGCACAGCTGCCTGCCAATTCTCCTGTTCTGCAAATGGGACATTCTCAGTATACCACCACACACACACTGGCAGAATAGTCTTCCTGGGTCAGACCAAAAGTTCATCTACCCTGGAGTCCCATCTCCACAGGAGACAGTAATGGAAATAAAAGCATCAAAACTGCCCAGCTTCCAAAAATCAGTGGTGTAGGGTACTGGAGCTGGAAGTTGTCTCTCCATCATTATTTTTAATAGCCTGGGATGGCCTCTGTCATCTATGACTTTTCCTGCATCCATTTATTGTTTCAGAACAATAAATTAACTGGAAACCATCTTAAACTTCTTTCAGCTCCTCATTGACAGGAAGATTGTTTTGAGCCTCTCTGGCATATTTTCCTTCTATTTCTCAGCCTGCCTCTTGTGTTGCCCACTCCTCCAGAGGAGCCATTAGCAGCCATAATCAGTACTGGGACATGTTCCTTCCCACAGGGCAGATGAAGACATCCCTTCAGGTGTCCTTTGAGGCTGAGGGGCAGGAGGGGATTTTCTGCTCAGGTAGACTGGAGCTTTTCACTTGTCCTGGCACCATGGGAAGACCTGGCAAAACCCACTCAGCCAATCTCCCACCAATGACTGGCCTAATCTTAAGCCTTATTGTTCTAGAGGATCTAATCACTCCCTGGAACATGAAGCGGTGTAGGAACAGGAAATGGGTATAAGAGTAGTTGTGTGCCAGGCTGTGATGTACAGCACAAACTGGTGGTCACCTCGTGCTTCAACTCTTGTGATGCTGGAAGCAAATTCTATGTGACACTGCCAGCACAGGCCACCCGTTTGTTTCTGCACAGAACATTTTCCTGACACACAGCAATCTGGGCTTTTTTGTGCAGATTTTGTGCTCTTTGAAAGTACTTCATATGTTCCTAACTGTAGTTTCTGAAGTACTGCACCGAATCCTCAGTACAGGTCAGTGTGTAACACACATGCCACACTTAAAAACCTGACAAAAGTAATCCTTTTTCCAAGCATTTTCCCTATCCCAGGAACACTGTTTTGATTCTCAGTCTCAATCAAGCATCTTCCTGCTGCCCAGCAGCTCTCTCCCTTTCAAACATCCCTCGACAAAAGGCACAGCAAAACATTCTGTATTCTGTTCCAAAGCAAATGATGCTGTTCAGGGGTTTATGACAGAAAGGGCTGCTGCTAAATGCAGACCTGGCTACCTCAATGCCGTCAGTCATTAACCTTTCACCTATAATCATCTTACACGAAGGATTTACACAACCATTATGTAATTGACCATTACAGGAACAGATGCATTTGAGATTTAAAAGTCAAGCGTTTTATTCATAATTATGTATGATTTGAACTCCTACCCATCAAGTCCCCCTGTTTTACTTCTGGTTTGATATTTAAACACAGCAAGTGGTAAAAATTGTAGTTACAGTCAAAAGATTGAGATTCAGCAGTTGAAAAGCTCCGATTTTGTAGTTTGTAAAAGAAAAAACAAACTGAAAGGTGTAACTACAAAAAAAAAATCATCTCAAAGCTTTTATCTAGATAAATATCATCCATTTAAAGCAGCACTCACTGCTTGTTCCACGTCTGCCATAACAGATGTGGACAAATAAAAGACTGAGTACTGGAAATGTACCCACACTGAGTTCTAGGTGAACAAATCATACATGTTTCAGAATTAACTCCTGCACAACAGCTTGTACCTATGGATAAATGACAGGTAAAGTAACATCAACTAGGAATGAATCCAGCCTATCAAGGTGTGGAGATAGGAGGAAAGCGTAGGAGAGAGCTGGGGGGGGACAGGGGACACGGACGGACAGATGACACACATAGCATTTATCATTTCCAGTTGGTGAACTTTTATTTTGGAAAGTCTCTTCAGCAAAGGTTCGTCTGCTTTAAGAAAAGGGAAACGCGCTGAATGGTTGGCTTTTTCTTGGGTTATTTTTATCTGCACAAAGACACCAACAAGCAGCCCCGTACTGATAATAAGGGAACAGGTACTCACTTCTCCTCAACCATTTGCTTTTGATACTCCTCATACTCCTCTCTGGTCATTCCTGCAGCTGCTGCTGGATCAGAAGGAGTGCTTTCTTCTTTGCTTTCTTCCCCTCCACCTCCAAGTCCCAAATTCTTTACCTGGTTGCTCAACATACTTTTCATTAGGAAAGCCATCTTCAAGGAAAAAAGGAGCTATAAGCAAACAACTACAACAAAGCCAAACCAAACCGAACACGTTCTCAAAACCAGCAACTGTAAGCAAGAGAGTTTCTACAGCCCCATCAGCTCTTCAAGGGCACAATGCTAGTGAAACGTGAATGCCAAAACCAGTTTGTCAGCCATAATCTGGATTAAAGAGTGAACTCCTTAATATCTAGAGGCAGATGGTTCAGATTACTCCAAAAAAATCATTAGATGCAGCTACCTACTTTTCATATTAATACCTTAAGCTAATTTACACACACACACAGAAATCAATCATAGTGTGCAACAGCATTTTGACTTCTTAAGTCTTGAAACTCTCACTTTCAGAGATGAAAACATTCCCTGGAACACAACAGATCTGAATTAGAAACCTGGCTGACTAAACGCTCATAGTGACATTCAGGCTACTGAGCCAAAACCCCTTTTGGATATACACCGGAATTCCCCATTAAGCAAAACCCTCGATCCTTTTTATCCCTTAAATTTTATCACCTTGGACAGAAGGTACATGGAATGGTTCTTCTTCATCCACTTTTTGTATGGCTGGTTTGCCTCACACGTGAATGGGGCAGTACAGCGAGGGTAACTTGACTTTCAAGGAAGCAATCACAAACAAAGCAAATCGCATCTTGCTACTTTTCATTCCTTAGTATTTATTTCAACTCCTCCAGGTGGAGGCTGCCTCCATCTAGGTCACCACTTTGACTGGGGCGGCACAGAATACCTGCTGGCTTTAATCTTAACTGTCCGTAAAGGAGAAATCAATCTCATAGATTCTGTATGCTATCATACACCCTCACTAGCTTTTGTTTGTGGATTGCTTCTGTAGGTCTTCCTCTTTCAACCTTTTATTCACATCAGTAGCCCCACCAGGTCTATTCAGGTAAAGATTTTCAGAATCTGCTATAGAGACTATAGGCTATTCTGGGAAAGAAAAATGACCTGATAGGTCTCAAAAGTTCCAGGGTTTGGGTTTTGAGCATTTATCCTACTATGACCAACTGCACATACCTTAATGAAACATTCATTTTGATTATCTAAATGTTTCTCCCAGCACTCATAAATTTACTGAGATGGGAGGATTCCCATTTGCCTAAGGCCTTAATCTGTATTAGAGCCTTTCAATTAAAGCAGACCTCTTACTGTTAACAAAAAAGGCAGGATGTTCAATAATCCTGGATTATTAGTGATTAAACAAGAAACTTACTTTTTTAAATAGAGTACACTCAGAAGCACAAATTCCAAATCACAACAAAACTACTTTGCTAGCACTTGAGAAGTAAATCCTGCAAACAGGCCTAATCCAGCATCTCTTTCAGGACAAGGACAGTCTTTGGAGGAGCACTCCGACTGCTGAGCAGTAGGGCAACACCGTGACCCAGAACAAGTCCACAGGAGCCCCTCTCTGCTATGCAGCCTGATTTAAAAGGAGGAAGTGAAAATAAAGGGCTGACTTAAATATAAGAGGGGCTTGGCCAAGAGCAAGTCCCTGAAAAAAAAGCAATGGCTAGTTCCCAAACTACAGCCTGACTAAAATATGTAACCTGCCCCATCCTGCTCAGAACACAGAGGATCTCAAGCGCAGGAGACAGATAAACCTAAGTGAGGGGAGAAGGTGCTCGATCAACTCACTCACACATTTAGAGACAGTGGATAGAGAAAGAGGGAGCATCACAACTCCAGAGCAAAGCTTTGCTCTCACTGACCTTCACATCCATTGCTCACAACAGTGGGGTGCTCACAACTTCTGGGTGGGAGAAAACAATGGTCAGTGAGGGAATTCTTACTCTTCCTGTGGGAGTTTACCACAGACAGCCTTTACTGTGCCCAGTAAACAGACACAGTTTACTGGGCAGAACAGTTAAAACCCAAACCAAAAAGTAAACGAGGAGACAGAGGATCCTGGTGGCAACAGTTTGGGGAATCAAAAACAAAGCAACCAGCAAGGAACCCTATTGGCTGTTAAGAAAAGTTGACATCCTACTTTACATTTAACTCTAGGCGTCTGATCCTCAAGGCAAGTCTGATACTCTTAACACAAGCTTTAGAGCAAATCTTACTTTCAGGTTAGAGCCACTCTTGCACTAGACCACAACACAGGGTATGATTCCTTTGTGCAGAATGAACTCCAGATTCAGTGTATCTTTCTAACCACTGCCAGGCATCTGTCCCTTCAGCACAGGCAGAGCCTCAGCCTCTGAATGCTGGTAATTCTCCAGTGTCAGGCAGGACTGAACCCGGATCTCAAGGCATTCAAACTCTCTAAATAGAGAGTAAAGAATGCTTCAGATACACTTGCTTGGATTTCATGGACATATACGCAATTAAAAGAAAAAAAACTTACTAAAAATATGCATCTTTATTCAAATAATGTTATCTCTGAACTCCAAGTGTCAATTTACATTAGTCAGAAACAAACATATGACAATGTCAGCTGCTTGAATTAGAGAAAAAAACCCCAACAGTAGACAGTATTTGGTGTTACAGTAATTGATGCATTGGTAAGTGTCAAATTTTCTTCAAACAGGAAGTTAGGCAATTTACAAACCGTATTGTGGGTTTTACTTTTGAAAGATTCAGGTGTGACTACATATACCATACTCTGACCAGTACAGTGAAATTCTCTTGTTACTGCCAAATATTTGCTACTTAGCATTCACACTTCAAGTGCTTATTAGAGTTGTTCTCCCCCGTATTGTGAAACTGAATTCCAAGGTGTCTTCTCCTAGTCCTGAAATATTACTTGGTAAGAATCAAACATACTATAAGTGTTAAAAGAAACTTCTAGTAGCCAGCTGTAACAGGAGGCTACTAACTGACTAACATTCTTACAGTACAGATTTGTTGCTATCAGTTCAAGAACAGACAGGACAAAATTTGAGCTGGGCAATTGGGAGCTTTCCTTTGATCCAGTGAGCGACAAGGCAATTATGGAAGTTCCAAGGAGACAACTGTGAAATGAAGCACGAAGCAAAACTGTCAGTTTTTGGTTGTTACATATTGGACCTTCTGCTCCCCAATACTGAAGTTTCCTAGTTGCACATGGGAGATGTGTCTGGTCAATTAGTAGCAAACACATGAGTGGAGCCTCATACTGAAGAGGCAGTTGCAGGTTGTCCCCCTAGACACCATCCCCAGCCTTATCTTTCTGAAAAAAGACACAACAGCATGGTTGTGCTCCAGCATTAAAAGGAAAGTTCTATTTGGATAAATTCACAGTAACAAAAATACAGGCCTTCTCCAATCGGATGCATTAGAGCTGTTCCTCTTATCCCTGATATATGCACCTACTTAGACATAAAGTTGCTAGCCTTTCTGTACAAAGAGCTTTGCAAAGCCTGCTGTGAGAGAAGGAGGTCTCTTTAGATGTTGCACTGATGCAGGAAGGTCTGCAATTGAAAAGAACAACACTCCACTTTCAAAACTATTTATGAAAATATATTAAGTTTAGTTACAAGAGTCAGGGTTGTAAGAGCTTAGACTCAAGGCACCTGTAAGTATTTGCTGGTGTTTAAAGTAAGGATTTACCCTATTTATCCAGCAAGATCAGCCTGAAGCAGTGGTTTCTGATTATCACAGCAAAATCTTCTCAAATTCAGAAACGAATCTATAAAGCTATACCACATACAGCATACTATATTCTGTAGCTATGTAAAGAGGCATGTAGGCAGTTTTATTGGTATAGCACAGACATCCACTTTTTGGACACAATAATAACATGATATTTTGCATAGATTTATCGTTTCTCCAAGCTGACAGGCACAATACTGAAGTGCTCTTCATTACAGCAAATTTGGCAGCATGTGTTGCACCCCAAGGGAGTGTGGGAATGCAGTAGTAGTATGCTAGATTCCAGATAACTTACGCAGATTTAGACAAATGGATTAATAATTAAAAGCGAAATATCCCAATGCATTTGTGTACTTTATAGAATTAGAAAAACCCAAACCAAACCCCCCTATTCTAGCTCTACACCTGAACAACCAAAGGACAAAGTCACCAGAGATGTGTAATCAAGGCAAAATGAATTCATTTCACATTCCCAATCTGGGCTGTCTGCTTTGTTTCTTTCCTGAAGCAAATGTTCATCTGATAAGCAGTATCAAACACACATGTTCAGTCTCACGCTTTTGACACCAAGCAGGAATTGACACACAATACTGGCTCTACAATAGCTACTGGACTAACAAACGTGTCTGAAACAACAGCCTGTGAAGAAATGGGTTAAACACTCAATAGCTGTAGTTTAGAACAGTTGCCATGTCAAGACTTAAAGCATTTGTATTTGATACATGAAAGACAGAAGACAGCTTTATAAGACATATATACACTAAACATACCCTTAATAAAAACAGATCTGAAGAGGTACAAAGCAATGATATCTTTGCTGAAGAAGTTCCACAAATCTCCAAGTAGAATTACAGACACACTTGTAACTATGAAAAAGAACTCAGTCCACAATATTCTTGAAGAAACTACTTTATCATGTTTTTTCTCACTACCTAAAACCAAAAACCCCAAATAAGGAGACAAGCCTTTATTTGCTTGTTCCGTATATTTTGTTTTCTATGTCAGGTATCAACAGCCAGACTGTTAAAGGTCTGTCTTTGTGTCCACATATTAAGAAATGTTTAAATCTGTAATTCATGAAGAGTTAGAATTAACATAGTAATTCTTAACCTGTTAAATCCAAGTGTCAAGAAGTGTTTATAAAAACCACTTTTACAGCCCCTTCAAAAAACCAGAGAACAGTTGGGGTTGCTTGGTTTTTCTTTTTGTTGTTGTTTTTTGGATGTGTTTTGTTTATTCGCTTGTCAGGACACTTAACAGGAAGGTTTTTGCACAAATCATACAACTGCAAATCTCTTTACGAACAACCAAACCCAGGTGTTTCAATTCCTTCCTCTGGAGTCTTAACAAAAAAAGAGGAATATGGCATTTGCCTTCCAGTATCTATGAGAAGTTAGCTGAAAACACAACCTAGATAGGGGCCACAGTCTTCCCTTACCTAGCATTTGTTCTGCTGCTCCCCAGTCCATTTGTAACTTTAGCATTAACAGTTTTAAATAGGAACTCATTTTGTTTAACAAAATTCAATAATTTACAATATTGAAGTATATCAAACACTAAGTTTTCCCTCATTTATAAAAGTTTTCTGTGCATACATACTGCTGTTACGCACACACAAAGAGAACAGGTCATCAAAAGAACTTTTTGGCTGCTGCTTCTTGTTGACTCCTGAAAGAAAAAGCAGAAGAGAATTCATGAAGGACTTCTAGTATAAAGCTAGCTAACTGGTTTAAATATTTATTTGAGGATTAAAAGACTCCATTCCTTGTCAATAGAGACTTAGGGAAATCAAATATAAGTTATACCACACAAGCAGGGTACATTTTTTCCTATTTACAAAGACATTAGTATCATCGCTTTAGTTCCAATTTTGCATCAGACACAGAAAGAAACAAGACATTCCAGACAAACCAGAAGCTGTGAAAGAACGTACAAAATGACTCTTAAAATGTTTGAACTAAAATTTTCTAAAGCTTCTCTGTATCTGATTGCTCTAAAAACCATCACACAGAAGGAAACATATGCAACCAGAGTGGAAGCATTTACTTCAAATGGGATTTCCTTTTACTTCTGGCACAGAACGTATTTATTTTCTTAGTGGATACTGTGGATCAGCCACACAGATGCTAGAATTACAAGGGCATCAAAAAACTAGTGGGGACCCGGTTCTTGCTTGCCTTGCAAGCCATCATTTCAGTTGGTGGAATAACATGACATATGTAGGAAACACACACTCTCCACTTTGTGGAGAAAGAGACACACAAAAACTACTGCAATCAGCAGCAGTAATCTTATATTAATATTAGTTATCCTTCCAGAGAGGTAGCAAACAGCATTTTTCCTTCTAAGGGCAAGGCAGCTGTTCTGGTCCCTGCTCCTTACCCCGATTAGTGTCTGTGAGAAGCAAGAAGGAAGACTACCAAGCACATAAAATAAGGAAAAATCACATCAGATTTTCCTAAGATATTGATAAACTTCAGTGAGTCCAGAGGACCACAAGGGTGGTGGTCAAGAGCTGAAGCACATGCCTGAATAGAAGGGAGGGATGGAACTAGGCTTGTTCATGTTGGACAAAAGGCAGCTTCAAAAGGTCTAACATGAGCTTTCCAATACCTGTAAGATGTTATTAAGGAGACAGAGGCAGTTTCTTCACAAAGACACACATCACATGAGACAACATGCAAACTGAAACCAGTGGTACCTTTTCCATGCTTGGAGGTTAAGATCTGAGCAGTCTAAACACTAAGCAACCTGTCTGAATTCAGTGTTAAGCCTCCTTTGAGCAGAAGACTGAACTAGAGACCTCCCAAGGTCTCTTCCCATCTGAATGATTGCTTGTTTTAAAGATGATTAACATAATCTTACCATTGCAACTTTATTTCCAGCCAGAAGTTCTAAAACCATTTGCCCTGTTGTCTTTAAACAAAAAGAGACTTACCTATACATGATATAACTGATGAATAGCACTGTTTGCACTGCTACAAAGATAAAGAAGTGCATCGTAGATAAGCACGATGGAAATGGTGGCAGTTCTGGACACTTTGATTTCTCATTAG